TTGTGTTTAGGGTTTCGGGATTCAGGATTCAGGATTCAGAGTTTCAGGATTCAGGGTGTCGGGATTCAGGATTCAGGATTCAGAGTTTCAGGATTCAGGGTGTCGGGATTCAGGATTCAGGATTCAGAGTTTCAGGATTCAGGGTGTCGGGATTCAGGATTCAGGATTCAGAGTTTCAGGATTCAGGGTGTCGGGATTCAGGATTCAGGATTCAGAGTTTCAGGATTCAGGGTGTCGGGATTCAGGATTCAGGATTCAGAGTTTCAGGATTCAGGGTGTCGGGATTCAGGATTCAGGATTCAGAGTTTCAGGATTCAGGGTGTCGGGATTCAGGATTCAGGATTCAGAGTTTCAGGATTCAGGGTGTCGGGATTCAGGATTCAGGATTCAGAGTTTCAGGATTCAGGGTGTCGGGATTCAGGATTCAGGATTCAGAGTTTCAGGATTCAGGGTGTCGGGATTCAGGATTCAGGATTCAGAGTTTCAGGATTCAGGATTCAGGATTCAGGGTTTCGGGATTCAGGATAAGAGGATACGGGTTCGTGTTTCAAGGAATTCGATACGAGGGATTCGGGTTTCGAGAAATTCGATACAAGGATTTAGAGACAACCTAGGATCGATTGCTCTGATACCATGCTAAAATATGAATACGGGTTTTCAATATGTTCAGATAATTTATTCTTCTCCATAAGGAGGTATATATAAAGAGTTTACAAGAGTGCTATACAAGGAATTAGATACAGGAAAGAATTAGGAAAATATCTCCTAATTATACAAAGATTTATCAATTATATAAAATAGGAAAGTAAATCCCTTAATTAATCAAGGAAATAAATCTCCTTGATTAATTAGGAGACTCACTTCAACAGAATCATCTCATGGATTTGCATACATATGATTTAAGGGTTGCCACCCATGGATTTATCATCCAAGAACTTGATTTGAGGGTTGCCACCCAACAGGGATTTACATCCAAGAACTTGATTTAAGGGTTGCCATCCTACAAAAATTAATTGAAATGACAGAATACCTATGAAATTGTCTCTGTGCTCTAGCAACTTTTTTCCAGCAGCCCTTTTTTTTTTCTTTTGTTCTCCTCCTTTCTTTTTTATTTACTGTTGTCCTTTTTATAAGCTAGAGCCCTCTTTAGTGTAGGATGCTTCATTCAAAAATTGAATGATCAGCTCCCCCAAAAACAGGAGCCACCAACCTCTCTTGAGAGTTTTAATTGGTTGGTTAGACTCCCATCTTTTTTGAACTCTTTTCCTATACATGGTTGTTGAGCTTTATCTGTGCCCTCAATTTGAGGCTTGTTGGATATGGCAAATAATGGGTATCCAATCCCACGTTTGAATCTTTTTTTTTTTCTTTTTTTTTGTATTTTTTTTTTTTTTGTATTTCAACAAGACTTATGAATGTCATTACCTCATATTTGTATGGAGAACTGGATGCAGATATATATATGAAAGTCCCAGAAGGACATAAGTTGTCTGAAGCAGCCACCAATAAACCACAAGGCATGTTCTCAATTAAATTGAGACGATCATTGTATAGGCTAAAGCAATATGGAGGAATGTGGTACAATCGCCTCAGTAAGTATTACTTAAGGAAGGATACACAAATGATCATATTTGCCCATGTGTGTTTATTAAGAAATCAAAGTATAGGTTTGCGATAGTGGCAATATATGTCGATGACATGAATCTAGTTGGAACTCCTAAAGAGCTCTAGAAGACTGCCGATTATCTCAAACACGAATTCGAGATGAAAGACCTTGGGAAGACAAAGTATTGTCTCGATTTCTAGATTGAGCATAGTGCTAGTGGGATTTTGGTTCATTAATCAAATTATACTGAAAAAAGTATTGAAGCGATTTGGCATAGATAAGGCTCATCCACTTAGCACTCCAATGATAGTTCGGTTCCTTGACACTAAGAAAGATCCGTATCGTCTAAAAGAGGATGATGAAATGATCCTTGGCCTAGAAGTGCCATATCTTAGTGTAATAGGTGCTTTATTGTACTTAGCACAATGTACGAGACCAGACATAACATTTTCTGTAAATTTGTTAGCAAGATACAGCTTTACTCCAACAAGTCGATATTGGACCGGCATCAAACATATTCTACGATATCTTCGTGGGACAACATACATGGGCTTATTCTATTCCAGTTAGTCGAGCAATGCCCCGAGTCTTGTTGGATATGCTGATGCAGGATACCTCTCTGATATGCATAAAGGTCGCTCACAAACTGGGTATGTGTTTACATGTGGAAGTACTGCAATCTCATGGCGCCCAACAAAACATACGTTGGTAGCTACATCTTCCAATCACTCAGAAATACTTGCCCTCCATGAAGCCAGTCGTGAATGTGTTTGGTTAAGGTTAGTGATCCATCACATCCGAAGCATATGTACCCTACCCTCATCAACAGACACTTCAGCCATCTTGAATGAAGACAATGCAGCATGCATTGCTCAAATCAAAAGAGGATACATCAAGAGTGATAGGACCAAACATATATCACCAAAGTTTTTCTACACACACGAGCTTCAGAAAAGTCAAGAAATCGAAGTCAGACAAATCCGTTCAATCGATAATCTGGCAGACATCTTCACCAAATCTTTGCCAAAATGTACATTTCAAAAGCTAGTGCATGGTATCGAGTTGGGTCAACTTAGCAAGCAATTGAATTGAAGTACGGATAAATCAAGGGGAGCATTCTAGAGTTCTCTAACATAGGACATATGCGTGTTGTACTCTTTTTCCTTCGACTAGGGTTTTACTAGGTTTTTCCTAGCAAGGTTTTAACGAGGCAAAATAAGCATGTCCAACTCTAGATCTGTATCAAGTCCCAAACAAAGTTGTACTCTTTTTCCTTCGCTTAGGGTTTTTCCTAGCAAAGTTTTAATGAGGCAACTAATCTCGAACTTGCTAACATCCAAGGGGGAGTGTTGTGAAATGTGTGTGTGGATGTAGCAAGGAAGACTTTTTGTACATGCAATAGTAGATTGAGGTAAGTGAAATATGTTTTTGGTGGGTGAAATGTTTTCACCTCCAATTCTTCCGCAAAGTGTTAACTGCTTTGCTCTTGTAACTTTCCCTATAAAAGGGATCCTCAGCTGAAGAAGAAGATAGACCGATCTAAAGAGAAAATATAGAGAGAGAAAAGAGAGTGAAAGATCTGAGAGTTAGAAGAGTTTTATATGAGCGAGAAAGTTCTATCAGTGTATAACCACAAGAGCAAATATAATTCCACCCTAATATTCAGTGGTACTTTCATACTCTTTTATTACATTTTAGTGGTATTTTTTTTTTTAGTAGTAATAAAAAAAGTTATTTACTTTTAAATTTCAATTGAAAAAGTTGCGTTTGAATTTCTCAGTGCTCGGACAGAAGAAAAGGAACCATTGTCGGTGCCAAAGCCCAAACAGAGAAACAAAGATTAAACTCTGAAAAAAGCCCAAACAAGCGAGAGAGAGAGATAAATACAGAACCTTTTAGCAGATGCAAAGATAAGAGCCGTCAGTCTCACTATCACCACTCCACCCTGCAGCTCAGAGCAAGCAACAACCGATCAGTGAGAGAGGAAATATTACATCAACTTTTCATGGATGTAGTAATTATCATGTCTTCTTTAGTTTCAGAGGCGAAGATACTTGCAAGACTTTTACCGACCACCGCTCCATAGCCTCGGTCAACGCCATGTAAGCCGGTAAGCAATCTATATTTATTCGGCCAAGCCCTTACAGCCTGTGTGGAAGTGAATCTATGCTTATATGTTATTCCTAATTTCTATTGAGCTTAGTGCCTGCTTATTATAGATCTACTTATAATTAGAAGAAATTCATGTTTAAGAGGATCAGAAAGTTCCCAGAGTACTAATTCAGAATTTGGCTCTCTTTGTTTTGATCAGTGGGTGAAGAATCTTAAAGGCGTAGCTTTTGATGGAGAAGATGTGTTGGATGAAATCAATTGTGAAGTTCTTCGGCATAAAGTAGAATTGGAGAACCATATAAAGAAAAAGGTACTAATCTTTCTTTCTGCCTCCGATCCCACTTTGTTTCGTCAGAAAATGGAACATAGAATGAAGTCTATGAAAGCATCTTTGGTGAGTGAGGCATCTTTCATTGAACTAGTTGATAAGAAAAAACACAAAGATGCAACCCTTCAAGCAATAGAGGACATAGAAAGCAACTCATTCTTTGGTAAGGATGTATACATCGTTGGAAGAAAGGAGGAAATGTCAAGTATAGTTGGAACCTTGATTATCTCCAACAGTCGAGAAAGTATTTTGGTTATTGTAGGAATGGGTGGTGTAGGAAAGACAACTTCAGATGAGTTAGTGTACAATGAACCTAACAAAGAAAAGATATGTCGTCATCCTTGATGACATTTGGAACGAAGATGAAGAAAAATGGAATAGTTTGATGAGTTGTTTGTCAAAACTCAATTTCATTCAGGGGATCACCAATATTGTCACTAAACCATCTTTGAAACAATGTTTTGCATATTGCTCAATGTTCATGAAAGATTTTAATTGGTGAGTTGAAACACTTGAGGTATCTGGATGTTTCTAGAACCAATATCAAAGCACTCTCCAATTCTATTGGAAAATTTTGTAATCTACAAACATTGAGGATGACATACTGTTTCTCACTTGAAGAGTTTCCAAAGAAATTGCAAAATTTGATCAACTTGAGGCACATTTAGTTTGATGGACATATGAGATTTTCCATTGGTTTTGGGTGACCAACTAATCTCCAAATATTATCTAAAGTTGCAGGAATGGGAGGGGTTGGGGAATATGTGCAACATGAAGAAGAAGAAGCATTGAAAGAAAATTTAGTGGGAAAGAAAAACATATACATTTTAAGATTTGTAAGGGACCCAAATAGGCTAAGGAGCAACAACAAGGATAATGTACTAGAAGGCCTCCAATCGCACCCTAATTCGGAAATTTTAGAGATGGAAAATTTCACGGTTGCTACATTTCCATCATGGATGATCCTGAGTTTGTCGTTGCCAACTCTCAGTCATCTACTTAATCTCAAAAATCTTGAGATTAATGGATGGATAAATTTAAAACGTGAGGGAGCTAAGTTTTATGGATATGATGTAGTAGTTACGAGCAAGGAGACAAGGGCTTTGTTCCAGTCTTGAAGACTTTCAAATTAGTGATACCCCAAACCTGGTTGAATGGATGGAAGCACCTGTGAAGCCTCCTGATTAATAGTGGTGTTTCCATGCCTTAAGGAGCTGTCTCTCTCATATTGTCAGAAACTGAGAAATGTTCCGAGTCATTTATTTTTTTAATTGAGTATATATTTATGTTTGTCAAACCTACCCAGTGGGTTGAACAGATGTACATTCCTTCAAGATTTGGAAATAAGAGTGTGTAAAGTCTGATGTTCATTCAATTCACAATCTAATACCCTCTGCAAATTGGAATTTTGGTGGTGTGAGTGGAGCGGAATATTCCACCCCTCCATGTCTTGAGCAGTAGTCTATGGCTCTATGCACATGTTTTTTTTTTTAAATTCTTTTAAATGAACTCATCCAGATATAAGGGCATGATTTGCCTCTATAATTAGAAAACTATACAATTTTGTCCAAACTATGGTTTGTTGGGGGAATTTGGTTCCCAATTGCTCTGGATGAAACGAGAAAGGAACAAGCTGTCCTACCACTACAATATGCATCATGCACTATCCTTATCATTTGCCATTATTGCTTTTGTTACTTTCTCCCTTTTTTTCCTTGTAGAAACAAAGACATCTTGATTTGATTTGCTTGACTAAAAATAATTGCTTTTTCTAGTTATTTGGTCATTCACAAGCTTCTTGTTTATACAATCCAGGAAGGAAGCAAGAACCCCACAACTTAATAGAAAATTTAATTTCCACAGAGACAGTTTGTTTCTTCACCACACTTCAGCCATGGAACTTGTGAGAGCAGTTGCGCAAACCTCCTCTTCTAATACTTCTCCACATTGTCGATATCACGTGTTCTTGAGTTTCAGAGGTGAAGACACTCGCAAGACCTTTACTGACCACCTCTACACAGCCCTTGTCAATGCCGGATTTCACACTTTCCGAGATGACGATGAGCTTGAGAGAGGAGAGGATATTAAGCTAGAACTGCAGAAAGCAATCAAACACTCACGAACTTTTGTTATTGTGTTTTCCAAAGACTATGCGTCTTCCAGATGGTGCCTTGACGAGCTTGTGCTGATTCTTGAACGCAAGAGGGTCTCACCTGACCATGTCGTTTTACCAGTGTTCTACGACGTGGATCCATCCCATGTGAGGAAGCAAATGGGAAGTCTTGCGAAGGCATTTGCTAAACACCAAAAAACACAACCGGTGCAGAAGGTGAAAGCATGGAAGGAGGCACTTGCTGAGGTTGCAGATCTGGCAGGGATGGTCTTGCAAAATGAAGTCGATGGGTAATTTCATTCCTACTTCTTTTTCTTTAAAAAAAAAATAATTTCATTTCTAATAAGTTTTATATTTTTTTATTTTTTGATGACGCATTAAAATACCAAAAATAGGAGTTTTCAATTTTTCATGTTTTATTTTTTAGGGTGCGTAAATTACGAATTTTTCTTGTGACTTCTTTTACTTGAAAATATTCTTGGTTTGAATACTGTAGGTTTTGTGTGCTAAATTATGAATATGGTTTGAATACTTTAGGTTTTGTGTATTCTTCTCCATAAGGAGGTATATATAGGAGATTACATGAGAGCTTTACAAGGAAATAAATACAGTAATCAATTAGGAGAATATCTCTTAATTATACAATGATATGTCAATTATATAAAATAAGAAAGTAAATCCCTTAATTAATCAAGGAAACAAATCTCCTTGATTAATTAGGAAGGCGCACGTCAATACTACTTTTCAAGTTGGTGCGTATACATCACTAATGCCCAACTTAGTAAGTGAGTCATAAAACACTCTTCTACAAACAACTTTTGTTAAGACATCTACCAGTTGATCTTCCGATTTTACGAATGGTAGGCGGATGAATTGGATTATGAGCAATATCTATAGCTGACCTGTTGTCACAATGTAACTCCTTTGGCTTTTCTGGTTTGAAGCCCAATTCTGTCAAGAGTCTTTTGATCCATAATGATTCACGAACTTCTTGAGCCATTCCTCTATATTCTGCTTATGCACTAAACTTGGAAACCACATTCTGTTTTTTACTTCACCAAATAACAAGGTTACTTCCAACAAATGTAAAGTAACCTGAGCGTCTATATGTAATGGAACCAGCCCAATCAGCATCTGTATATCCAATAACTTCAAGGTTTTCATTCTTGGAAAATATTAGTCCATTTCCAAGGGCTGACTTTAAATACCTTAAGATCCGATTAACTGCATTCTTATGAGAAATATTGGGAGAATGTATAAATTGACTAACCATACTTACAACTTAAGCAATATCTGGTTTTGTGTGTGCCAAATAAATTAATCTTTCAATAAGGCGTTGGTATTGTTCCTTATTGGTAGACACCCAGTTCATGTCTTCACATAACTTGTGATTCATCTCAATGGGTATGTCAATAGGCTTGCATCTAAGCATTCTTGTTTCAGTGAGTAGTTTTACATCACATACTTCATTTGAGACAAATATCCCAGTTTTTGACTTTGATACTCTTATTCCGAGAAAGTATTTCAGAGCACCTAAATCATTCATCTCAAATTCCTGAGACAAATATTTTTTGCAGTTTCTGTTATTCTCTTGTGGCGTTCCCAGCTACGACCATATCATTCACATATATGATTAATGCAGTGATTTTTTGGCCATTGGGCTTCAAGAACAGGGCATGATATGAATTACTTTCAGTGTATCCAAATTCTTCATGAATTTAGTGAATCTGCCAAACCATGCCCTGGGAGACTGTTTTAAACATATGGTGATTTTCTGAGCTTGTGAACTTGATTCTTCTTGTCAAGAGCTACACTACATCTTGGTGGTAAATCCATGTAGACTTCCTCCTCCAAGTCTCCTTGTAAAAAGCCATTTTTAACGTCAAACCGATGTAGTGGCCAGTCTAGATTTGCTGCTAGAGACAATAAGATTCTGATAAAGTTGATCTCGGCTACTGGGGCAAAGGTTTCTTGGTAGTCAAAGCCATATCTCTGTGTGTACTCTTTTACCATCAGTCTGGCTTTGTATCTTTCAATGGAGCCATTTGCTTTGAGTTTCACATTATAGATCCACCTGCATCCCATTGTCTTTTTTCTGTGAGGTAAAGGCATGATATCCCATGTGGCATTCTTCTGGAGTCCTCGCATTTCTTCATTCATAGCTTCTTTCCATTTTGAGTCTTCTAGTGCTTTAGTTACATTACTGAGAATAGATATATTGGCCAATTGCTTCACAAAATGTGCATGTGATTTGGACAATCTACTTGGTGATATATAATTGTTGATGGGGTACTTCCCTTTGGCTTTAAGATCTGCTTCGTACTGTACTCGAGGTTTACCACGGTTCGTCCTTTCTGGGAGACGATATGTAGGGATGTTTGTATCCCTTATGCTTTCTTAAATCACATTATTATGGTATATTTCATTAGTGATTTCAGGTGAAGGCATCTCTGGAGAGGGAAAAATCTCATAAAATGGTTCAATTTCCTCTTCATGATTTTGGCAGCGTGGAGTCGAGCATTCACTTTCCACTAGCGACCGGTCGCTTTGAGATAGAGGCGTCGACTATGAAGGAACGAAGGGGGGCGACCAGTCTCGTGAGGTAGGCGATCGGTCACGTTGAAGTAGAGGCACCAGTTGTGGAGAACGAAAAGGGGGCGACCGGACGCATGAGGTAGGCAACCGATCATTTTCAAGCAGGTTGTCAGTCTGCTAGGAAGTCTGGGAGGGGGGGGGGGGGG